TAACCACCGCGGCCGCGCACGAAAGTCCTCCGGGAAAAGTTTCTGGAGAACAAGGCAACTCTTTGTGTTGTAGTATTCCACTGCATTCCTATGCCACTCACCATCAAGTGTGGTTGATGAGTAGTGTGAAACCGGTGTCAAAGTAAATCGGTTCAAGAAGGCTTCCATCAGCAGGGCTTCATTTTTTGTCACCTGCTCCAGCTTTTTTGCCAACTGCTCCTGCTTTTCTGCCAACTGCTCCTTGAGCTCGTCCAGCTTCTTCACGATAATATGTTCCGAAGATTGAGCCGGCTCGCCTTGCATCTTCTTCGCTGCATCCAACAAAAAATCACGCATTTCTTTGGCACTCTGCACAGTCCGCTCAGCACTCTGCACAGTCCGCTCAGCACTCTGCACAGTCCGCTCAGCACTCTGCACGATGTTCCGGTGGATATCTTTGTCTTTATCTGCAGATAGCCAGGCTTCCTGTGCCTTTTCCAACTTGGTCTGTGCCTCTTTCAATTCAGCCTCTGCCTGTTTCAATTCAGCCTGTGCCTGTTTCCATGTTGGACTCTCCGAACTCGGTCCAGCATCATCATCCATGGCAAACGTGGGTGGAAAGATTTTTTTCAAAAGATGAAAAGCAAAACATGAAAAGCAAAAGCACTTGAGTTAGCTGTCTGCTCACGAAGGCACGTGTCTGGTTTTGTGCAATCGCTTAGGGGCAACGCCGGCAACACGTGTGTCCAGTGCTGCAATGTCATGTGCGAAGCGGGGGGGGGACTGTTTGTTCAAGCGCATCCACTGCACTCTGGGAAACCCGGCATGATAATCACGAAGAAGCCGATGAAGTCCACAACGATTGAGGATAGGATGGAGTTCCGTTGGGCAGTCCGGCAAAAAAAGGAAAGAAAACTGAGACAATCTATGCATTGAGTAGAATACAGGTGGCCTGAACAATTTCACCTCTCATCTGAACAAAACATAAACCACAAGCAACAATAAAAAACAGAACGAACTTCCTAACGAACAGAAACCATCCTGAAAGAAAACGAAACAACCTAAACAATCAGCCTCCTCGTTGAATATCACCGAACAGAGTGATTTTTAGCACCAAATTTTCCCCAGAACCCCCATAGAGAATAACGACAAAGCCTCAACAAAAAAATTTAAGAGCCAAAAAAAATCAACGAGGAGGATGATGAACAAAAACTCCCCAGAACCCCCCTTTTACAATTTTTTTCCCCCAGCAGCACCACACCAGATCCAAAGGTGAGCAGCTCGTGCTTGCTTGCTTGCTTGATTGCTTCCTTGCTTCCTTGTTTGGTTTCGTCTCGGCAAAGCGAACAAAAGGAAAAGCAAAAGCAAAAAGGGAAAGGAGAACAGCTGCGAGAAAGAAAGAAAGAAAGAAAGAAAGAAAGAAAGACGAAGGACCAGAGGACCAAGGGACTAGCGGACCAGTGGACCAGCGGACTGCAGGGGACCAGCGGACCAGAGGACCGGCCACCTACACGACTGGGAATTCCAAGGGATTTCATCGCACAACGAAGATTTTTTATTGATTCAGAAAATATACTTTTTTTGGGGGGGGTTCGGTACATATTTTTTATTGATTCGATAAATATATTTTGTTGATACCTATGCCTTCCGAAAAGGGGGTCGTGACTGTTTGCACTGTTCGGAAAGAGTATGTAAAGAGTCGAATGTGGATGTGGATGATGTGCACGAGTCGGCCCTGCGCCGCTGAAGTTCTTTCAGGTTCTCAGATATTGCAAAGCGCATAGTGCATGCCAATGCTTTTTTAAATGTCAGCTACGGCTACCTCGCGTCTTCTCCTCCTTCTCCTTCTCCTCCTTCTCCTCCCCCCCTCAACCGCAAGTGTACGACGGCAGTGTTCCCAGCCAGACCTCAACCGCAACACACAAGAGCAACGCAAAACAACAAAGACAGATCCGCAACACAGAACCACAACACACAACCACAGCGCACAACTACAGCACACCACCACACACACACCCACCACAACGCACAACCACAAGCACATAACCACAACCACAACTACAAACACACAATCACAGCCACACAACAACAAACACCACTACAACTTGGCCAAAAACACAACCACAAACACACAGCCAGAAACAAGACCACAAACACACAACCACAGCGCACAACCACAACACACAACCACAAACACACAACCACAAAGACACAACCACAGCACACAGCACACGACCACAACACACAACCACAAACACATAACCGCAAGCACAGCTACAAAGACACAATCACAAACACACAGCCGCAAGGACATACCCGCAACACACAACCACAAAGACACATCCACAGCACACAGCCACAACGCAACTACAAAGACAGAAAAGGACATGAAAATATATGGCTGAAGTCATTCCCCCTCCGCCGCCGGAGCGCGCTGGCTCACCGCATGAGTTGAAGTAGTAGTGCACGTCTGTAACCGAAGCAACCTTTCTTTTGTTCATACCCTCACCTTCTGCCTTGCACGTTTTGCCTCAACAACACTGCCTTACACAGACGCGTGCTCCGGCAGCGTAGCGCGCAGCTTGGAACATGTGGATGCGTTGCTTTTGCTGTAGGGTCGTTTCGGTCGGGGAAGTTATATACAGACATGTTCCCAAACACCCTCTGCTGGCAGAGCGCGCTCTTGCGCGCAATGGTTTTCTATGAGATTGTTGACCGGGGTGTGCATGTGTGTTTGATCCACAACGACACATCCACAACACACAACCACAAAAACAACTACAAAGACGCAATCACAGACACGGCTACAAAGACACAGTCACAAACACATCCACAGCACACAACCACAACGCACAATCACAGCACACAACCACAACCACAAAACCACAAACACAAGCACACAACCACTGACACACACTTGAGTTTTTGCGTACTGATTCGAATGCCGCTCGCCACACGGCAACCTAAGGAACCAGACCTGAACAACCAGGTAAGGAGGCCTGAGCGCCTTTAGTTAAAGGCCAAAGGCTCAACTCCACGAAGCGACGAACAGGTCGAAGTGACGGCGGCCGCTCTTGTCTGCAGAGTGCATTAGCTCTTTACTGAACAGTAGGGTCACAGCTTGATCAAAAGCTCAACTCTTCGCAGGTACAAGTCTGTGCGTCCACAGACTCATCCACCCATTTCTCTACCTTCGTTGGCTAGCGTCGAGATTATGGCCGCTAGCCCCCTGCTAAAAAAGCAAAACGAAACACAATCCAAACGGATCCCTGACTCCAAGGGTTACACACACAATCACAAACATGTCAGACAATGTGAAGTTTAGCATATATACCAGATAGAATGTCACATTATATTTCAAAGTTCATGTTTCTCTTGTGTGTCCTGTACACCCCTTCTTCCTTTGCCTTTACCGGACCAAACACCTGACGGGCGGCACGCCGCTGTCTTGCAAGAATGTCAGTCACATCTGACAAGCAGCAGAATGTGCCAGAAAGAATGCCGAAATAATGTTGCAATACATGCAGAAAAGTTGTCAGATTGAAATGTCATGGTGGGGATCACTCGAAGTGAAGTAATTTTCAAGTCTGTTTTTTATATATATATATATAATCTCTTTTTTCAAGTGGAGACCAGTTCGACCTGTCTTTTGACGTCGCACCACTTCGCGCGCCGCAATGAAGGGGCCTTCTAGGCCCAGGTCCGGCTTTCGCGCCGACCAGTGGGTGCCCCAGAACAGCAGACCCATGCGACACGCAAAGACCTCGCGAAATTGAAAGAGAAAGAAAGGACGTCCAAATTTTTTCTCTCACTCTTTCAGTGTTCATTTCTACCAATCGAAGACGAAACACCTGCAAGTTCTAAACCTGCATGCACCCACTACACCTAAGCAAATAGTCACTACGGAGCATCGCAAGATTGCAGGTTTGGAAGGGTGAGCAGACATGAAGTCAACTTGCAAGACATCAAGTCTTGCCCGTGAGCTCGCACCTTGGTCCTGGTCATGATGAATCTTCCAGACATTCGCGCTGGCGACTCGCGGCCAGTCTGGTAGCTGTACTGCTGTGAGCCCGGCATGTTTTCCTTAAAAGGATCTGGTCAAAGGGTTGTCTCTGCAAAGCTCAAAAATGCGATAAGATCGATAAGTTTAAACTAACAAAGCCAAGGAACCCAGAGTTTGCCACCAACGTACATGCAAGCGCCACGGCTCCAGATTCGTCCTGCACCAATCCGGTCAGATTGAACATGTTTGGAAAAAAGGCCTTTGGGAAGGTGTTCAAGGCCAAAAAGCAAAAGACCTCAAAGACCTCTACAAATGTTATCAGTCATTGCCCTGTGCCAGGCCCCCACAAAACAAACCTTTTGTAGTTGAACATGTTGGGACCCTTCCTGAAGAGTGGGCCGTGTTCGAATCAAATTCCAGCAATTCCATCTGGTCCGGCTCGTAGTCCTTAGATTCAAAGCGGAAAGCAATGCTGCGCACATGTTTGCAAGCGCTGCTACAGCGCTGCCACAGCGCTGCCACGCCGCCGGGTGGGATGCAGCGCTATCGCCCAAGGCCTTCGTCACTGTCGGGAAGTGGAAGCCCGAAAAGCCGCCAGACGCAGAGTTCCCAATCCACCTGGGCTTTCTGTCTTTTCTTCTTTCTTTTAAAGAAACATCCGTGATTTGTGAAAAGGTACGGCCATTGAGTCCAGTTCTGAGCGTCCCGCCGGTTCTTGGCATTGGTGCAATAGAAGCCCACAGCCGTGGCATCAGTAGGTACGATTCGGGTGGGCACTGTCTGTACCGTGACGCCTCCTGGTGAAGTTTGGGCGACAAAAGTTGGCGGAAAAACAGCAAAAGAAAGGCAATTTGTGAGTGGCAAGAAGCTACTAGTAGCGATGCACTTGCTACTAGTAGTAATGCCTTTGTCACTGCAGTGTGGGTTCATTTCTCATGTCCAAATGTGTGCGTGTGCCGTTGCGGCTACTGCACGAAGCAAGAAATCCACCGATAAGGAACATCTCAATGGTCCAGAAGCTTTCGTGTCCCAAGTGGCCTTTGGAGAATTCTTCCGTCGACCGGACCTTGACAGCTCTCCTTGTCCACCACCATTTTCATAGTCCGAAAGTCGGTCGATGATGTGCACAAATGCAGCCAGGTTGTATTCAAACAGATTATTTTCCTGAAGATGTGAAGTGCACAGTGAAAGGTTTTTACAAAGTCTTGTGGTGTCGGAGAAAGGAAATGACCGAATATCTTCAAGTTCACAACATGGAGCTGTACTCAGGCACAAACATGACAGGTGTGGACGTCCTTTTTTTGCTGAGACATCCCATAACCACTTTCTTTCAGACTCCAAATCTGATACGTACGGCCCGGTACCCGCCTCTACACCATCCTCTAGGTAATAAGCGCTGCCTGACACGTCATAAGCCACATTCCGGGACACACGTGAGAAGGAGGTCCCGTGCACCTGGACGGCAGAAACGCACCACGAAAACCCAAACGAAACGACAACGAAAAACTTGTCCGACAAAAACGGTAAGAAAACCCAGCGACTGTGTAGGCACGGAAGTAGCTGTGCTGGACAGTACAATCTTCGAAGAATGTGTTTTGGTCCACATTGCCCAGCATGTGGAAATGGAATGGATACCTGGAGAAGCAAGAATGCACGCGGAAGACGTTTGGCATCTAGACTCAAAGAAATGCAGCTTCGCAAAGTCTGCTCTGTTAGTTTGTTGCTCCTCAAATGACTCCCCCAGTCTTATGAGTATATAAGACTTTTTGCCCACACTCAACCAGGTTGGGAACAGCATGAAGAGCCCACACGGATGCACATCCTATCTCAAGGTCCTTTGTTTCGGTTTACAAAATCGTTCTCATCCGTTGTTTGTCATCCCGCCTCCCCATGACGTTCTCCTGCCCCACGCGGTACCCCCGCACACCAGCGATGCGGCAGTTAGAGCCCGGCGCACACATCACATGGCCGCCGTAGCGGGTGGTCTCGCTGCCCTCGTCACCTGCATTCTCAAGTTTGTTGTCAAAACGGTTCAATTTGAGAAAATCTTGCAAAGTGAAACTCGAAAACATGTTACATCACATGAATGGTCGAAGCAGGTCTCCGCTCGACGCCTTGAAAGGTGATGCTCCGTGACAGCAAGGCTACTTCTGTCGCGTACTCAGGTCCGCCATAGTGCGAAAACTCCAAAGGTTCAGAGATCGTCACACGCCTCGGAGTGAGATCATCAGTCACACGCACATCCTTTCCACTCTCCAAATGCAGTCAGGCTGCGCACCGTCCACAGCCGCGATGGTTCGAACTTCATTCTGATGTTGCGAAGGCTCATCAGTCCACGCGCTGGTCACGACTACCAGCTGCTGCCCCACCTGCCAATCCACCTGAGGGGCTTAGACTCCCGGAAGGTCGACAGGGTTGGAAATCTTGTCAACAAGAGAAGGGGCTAAAACACACGTGTCCTACTCTTGACCTCGTCCAGAAGCTCCACGACTGTGTCACCAGAATCCTGAGCTCGATAGGCGATCTGCACCTTTCTTTCTTCATTTTGCTTGAAAATCATTTCTTATCTTTCTTCTTCCATTTTTTGCTTTGCTTTTGATAGATTGCAAGAATCCACCCCAGCTGCCAGTCGCGTCCAGGTGGGGTAGAACCGTACGCCAAAGACATCCAAATGGCCACCTCTCCCCACGACAAGGCCCTTCGTGTCCAGTGGATTCGCCGACCTTCACAAACTTCCCGTTGCTCAGCTTTGCTCAACTTTGCTCAGTTCAAAGGACTCCGGAGCTGTCAGATACTCGACGAAAAGCAAGAACTGCAGTAACTGCATGTTTTCCTTTGGAACAACGATGAAAAACATCTCTTCCGTCATCTTCCGTCCTTGCATTTTGGTCGCCATCCCCCGTGAAGGTGACCACAAGACTCTCCAAACGGCAGGTGCTGGAACCCATCCGCAAGACTCCTGCTCGCAAAGGTGAGAAGAGTTGAAAGAAAGAGCAAAAAGAGCAAAAAGGGTGACTCGAGTCATTCTTGAGATGTTGCGGTAAAACCGACAAAAACAACGAATGTGGCATCCTCCGTATCCACCCACCCCCCCTCGGCCTTTCACCAGAATGCCCTGTGTTTGGATTTCGACATTGTCCCCCACAACGAGCTCCGCATTTTCGTCCACTGTCAAACGACCCAAGGCCACCGAGGTCGACACAACGTAACGTCCGCCTCAGATCACAGCTCTGGCAAACATGTTGCCCAATTTGGAGCATATTGGGCGAAATTCGGCACGTTGCAAACATGCGTGATAAGCTGTGAGCTCTGAGTCATGTGAGGCGTCATCTCGCGGACGCAGCTCCGTGCGTGGTGCCAAGGCACTGGTTATGGTCACATCACCGCCATTGGCCAAGTCTTCAAAGGGCATCAAGCTGGCCTCCTACAAAGTGACGAGTCAAAGAAAACCAAAAGAATGTTTGGAAAAACGTTCAATGTTCCTTCTTTAAGCTCTTTCGGATCCTTGCAAGGGGTGGTACCGTTTTACCCATGTCACCTTCATCTTTCTGGCTTCATTTCAGCTTGAGGGTTCTCCACAACCTTCAAAACCTTGCTTTTCTGAAGGAGTTGGCTTGAGGAATAAGAGTATCCTCCAAATCACCTGGTTGTCTAACTCTTTGGAGGCTTGTTAAAGTGCGAAAAGTCAGTCGAAGCGCCCCGATCGACAGTGGATAAGGCATGGCCCCTCCAAGGGCGTTGTGCAATTTTGCCCCGCCCCTGAGAGCAACGTTTATCCCAGCATCAACCACCCCCCAGGACGCCCTCGTCCGCTTTTTCCTCGCTCTCCGAGCGACCCTTTGAAGGACACCGGTGACGACATCAGTGCCATACTTTCGTTTCACTTCGTTTCACGTCCTGATATGGACAGCCACTCTTCGTTTCAGAGGCCCCAGAGGCCCCTGGCATGCGCTGCTGTTCAAAGGCTGCAGTGTAGGGCGTCTCCAGTGCCGCGATGGCCTAGTGAGCTGGGCGAGGGGCGGACGGACGTTGCACAAGAAGTTACGTCTGATGCCCTTGCTACTAATGGCGACTTGCTACTAATAGCGATGCGCTACTGATGCACTTGTTACGAGAAAAAATAAGAAAGATGTGCAAAAGACGATTTGTCTTGGCCGAGCCCCGTTTGGGATCTTCCGGTGCGCCTTGCCAAGCTCTGGCTTCAGCTGGATCATGGAGAGGGACCTTGTGGATCTGCCTTGGGATCAAGTCTTGTGTGAAGGATATGATACAGTATACAGCTGGACTGCAGCTTCTAAGTTGATCACTGATGTGCTACATGCTCAACTCGTTTCTTCATTGCGACAAAAAAAGAAAACCACAGCACTAAACTCTCCACGTTCGGGACTGGAAATGGCAGGCTCCATTCGTTGCCACAAAGAAAGTCCCACCAAAAGCAAGGCTGGGAGAGCCGCTGGGAGTGTGAGACGGATCGCCATGAGCGACTGAATTTTGGAAAGGCCTTGAGAAAAATGGCTTGGATAGCACAGCGGATCTTTGCAATTTTGGCTTTGGACTTTGGACTAAAACGTATGATCTTTGCTTTCCTTTTGATGATTATCTTGAGTCTCCTTTGCTTGGCGGTCCATTCAAGCTCATCCCTTGTCCATAGGTCAAATTATGACAACGCATCACCCAAACAACTCTTTGTGGGAAAAATGGTGTGGCCAAGAGCACAATGGCATTGATTCTGGCCATAGTCCATCCCTGTGCCACCGTTTTGGCCTGCATCTGCATCATCTAGATCCTCTGCTGCCTGTCCACATCAAGTCGGTGTATCCAAAATGCGAAGTCCGGGAATCTCAAACTTCCAAGGTCAAGATGGTGCAGATTGCGGAAAACTGGTCAGCAAAAATGTCCAGTTTTCGAGAACTTTGCCCTTTCAGATGGAAGAAACCTTCCTCCAAAGTCTGGGGACTTGAAGACCCTAACGAGTGATCGACCAAGTTCAGTTCGGCTCGGTTAACATGTCTCATTCCAATCACTTTCCACTTCAGAAAATCGGACCATTTTAGCAAGGTGTCCAAGAAAAACTTTCGGTTTATCGCTTGACTGTTCATTCTTGAAAGGTCCAAGACCAAATAGAGTGGGGGTGGGGCAGTGATGTACTTGGTAGAGGTGGAGGTCTTCAAAAGTGCGACAACTCCCCAAAGTATTCTAATTAAACTTAATTCTAATTACTAATTCTTGTTTCTACTAGCTTCTTGCTACTAGTAGTAAGGCCCTTTGCTCCTAGTAACGATGCCCTTGTTCCTAGTAGCTTCTTGTTACTAAGGAAGTGTCAAGATACAGTCCGATCAGAATCCGAGCCCTCACGGCACCATTTCCGAAGTACGTCTGCCGCACTTCGAATCCATTTGTAGTAGCGTCCTTGTTACTACTAGTAAAGCACTTGTTACTAGAAGCGATGCACTTGTTCCTAGTAGCTTCTTGTTCCTCTTTCAAAAAATGCCACAAAAAGTGGGGACTTGTATTAAGTGCCCAGAGTGAACTCCAAGCCAGCACACCCTCAAATCAGCACAGCGACAACAGATTTTCTGCGACATTGTGAAAGAAGGATTGTGCACTTGAACTCTTGTGGCAACCTTGCGCACAAACGCGAACCCTTGAACCGGCCTGTGCTTTATAAGAACTTGTTGGTGTGACACACTGCTTGGGGAAAAGCACGCGTCTCACATCACTAGTAACAAGAGGACGCTACGAACGTAACAAAGGGCATCCGTCTGGGACAAGGCACAAGGTTCTATACATCTTACGAACAACACCCAACTGCAAAGAGAAGCTTCACTGCTGGCACACGACTTTCCCACTCTCCACTCTGCTGTGAATCCCTGCGAGTAGAGCAGTTTGAAGCCTGCATTTCGTGCACGAAACCGTGGAAAAAAACAATCCCGATCATCAAACACCTGGATTCAAGTTGCTTCCTGCGTCAGGTGTTAAAAGAAAATTGCCAGTCTGTCAAAACTTATCAAGTCGGTCGCTTGCTTTCTGCTCATTGTTCTCCTCTACCCGTCTCGGTCTCCGGTCTCCCATCTGTGCCTTTCACTCTTCTCCGCGGTCCCTCCTTCGGTGGGCGTCATTTTCAACACGGGCGCTGCTGGCGCTGCTGCTGCTGCTGGCACTGCTGGCTCTTGCTCAGCGCCAGCGCGTGGGGCACTCTGAGCGTTGCTGGGCACCTCGCAAAACCAGCCCGTTTCGAATCGGACATTTCTGAGGAAACATGTGGAAACAAATTTTCTGCTGTCCATCTGCCAGCTCCGTTGCTACCTGTACAATCCTAACTCATACCGGAATGGAAAACAAAATTTCACCGAGACCCACACCTCCTCTTTCGGCCTCAGTGCAGTGGCCATCAAAGATTTGGTGAAAGCTGTCGCATAGAACTATAGAACAAAAAAACTGTTCAAAGTTTCGGCAAGGAAGAAAACCGTTGTTACAAAAGTATTCATATATTGAGATATACCGTACCTGAGAAGGGAGGGGACGAAAGCCAGCCTCCTTAAGACGACATGAAGGTGGCTATGGTGGGTGAATTCGTCTGCGCACTGGGATTGCTGTCAGGAATGGGGAAAGAGAAGCGGAAAGTCTTGCACTGAGGGCTGGTATAGGATAGAAGTGGAGGCCATGCGTTAGGAGAAAGGTTGAGTCGGTTGAGTTGGACAGGACATTCGCAGGTCGGCGGGGGCGCCCTCATTCTTTTGGTTCAGGAGCGTTTTCAAAAGGAAAGGGGGCACCCCTAAGTAACCGGTGCTGGGCGCCTACAATGCATAGTACATATACATACACTGTCGCGACGCATGTTATTGATACATCTCTGTCTCCTCCTCCGTCTCTTTCTCTCTCTTTCTCTCTTTCTCTCTGTCTCTCTTTCTCTCTTTCTCTCTGTCTCTCTCTCTCTCTCTCTATCTTCAATCATTCATCCACCGCAAGGCGCCTATTTGTTGCTTGGAAGCGACGAGATCGTTTCGTCACGAAGAAGCACACGACGCTCTTCGTCGTAACACTGCGATGCTGTCGTGAAATCCTAGATATGCGAAGTCTGATGCACGGGCAGAAAAGTTCCCGTCCTGGTTGAGAAATAAGATACTGTTGTCTTAGAGCGCGTGTTCTTGCAATGATTTCTACTCTTACGAGCCACGGGGAAACCTGGAAGCAACTCCCATCCGCCATTAGCGGTAACAGGATTGACTGGCATTCGTGCAACATTCCAATTCTAAAAGCCCAGCCGAATGCCCTTTTTCATCTGGTTTACGACCCTTTGTCCCCCAAAAAGGGGCACCCCCAAGCAACTCAAAGGTTCCTGACTACATTTCCTCCCCAGATCCGATAAACACAGTAAAATCAAGTCAAACTCCCTGAGTTTTCCCTATCTCTATGTTTCTAACGACGCACAGAGTCTCGCCGCTTCGGTCCAACCGGGTGGACACACCCGTTTAGCCTGGTGAACACCGTTTCTTGCGTTCCCTTCGACATCGTTTCCACAGGAAAACAGAGGGAAAGACGCATCTCGCATTGAAGCTCGATAAGCTAGAGCCGATATACACAACGCCTGCATCAACTCCCATCCACTGTTACTGGTCATGAGATAGACTTCGGTCCGTACCTAATTGGACGTCTATGACTGAGGGCTGCCCTTTTTCATCCAATCAACGGCCTTCTGCACCATAAAAAGGGGGACCCCCCACCAACTCTATAGTTGCTGACTGCATTCTATTCCCTCTCCTGTCCTCTACCTGCACTCTTCGGGCTGGTGAAGCCCTTCAATCTAAGGGAACAAAAAAAGGAGGTAGCATATCAAAACGCTGCTGTAAAATGATTCCCGTAAATGTCCTCCTGTGTGTTTAAAACACACAAGAAAGCACGCTCGCCTTAGACGTCACGACCCAAAGTCCACTTGTGTCCCAATGCGCTGTGTCCCAGGCGGCCGCCGACGTGCCTCGCTCTCTGCAAAGTCTTTTGCAATGTTCTCTTCATCTGGTTTTTCTCATAATCTTTTTTGCAAAATGTTTCTCCAGAATACCAAATGGAAATACTGAGAAGTAACAATTCGGTTTGTCTCATATGCTTACTCCACTTCCAGTGTTGCAGATCCGCCCGTTTCAGGTGCCATTTCGGCCCAGCCTCCCGCCCCGTTCTCCGGGAGATGAAGGGCCATCGAATCACCTGCGAGAGAAATGTGGGAAGACATGCAACTCTGCACTTTGGTTTTTGCAATAATTTGGAGGATCTGTGTTTCGTCACAATTCTCATAGGAAGCCCCAAAGATTGACACCAATTACACGTAGAATCCGTTGGACCAGCTGTCCATCACCATGTCAAGCACCATGCCACACCCGAAACGACCTGATTCAATGTCATCGCGACGTAAAGAAACAAAGACTGTCAAGGCTGGGAAAAATGGCAGCATGCATCGTCAAAGTGTTTACCCTCCTTCACAAGCTCGAGACCACATCTCGTGTAACTGAGACAAACATGAGACTTGTCAAGAGCTTGCAGCAGCTTGTGCCAACTTTCAAGCTTGGGGCCCACACTGGGGCAGGGCGGACCGGTGTGCTGGCTGCCGTCTGAGCCATCTTGACCTCTGTCAGGGTTGAAGAAACAAAGAGATAGACTGAAAAAGCAATTTGTGTTTTTTGTAAGGGTTCAAAGTTCAAAGTGGAGTGCAAATAAATTGTAGGACACAAGATTTTGCTCTCCATGTGGTGGCAAAATAAGTGCATCAGTTTAGTAACAAGATTTCAAAAATTCGATCGTGTTCCCGCATCATTTGACGAAACATGTTCGACGGCGAGTGAACTGTTTGACGTTTCCGCCACCAAGCTGCCATGCGCCAGAGCGCATGATTTTCCGTGGCCATGGCCTCCACCAAAGCTTCTCGCTGCACCTGCAATTTGTTGGTCGGTTTGAGAAACATCTCAAAACCCCTCCAATTGAGTCGTACTTGAAAGTAGTTGTCAGAAAGTACAACAAAATGAGGTTCGTGGACAAATCAATTTGTCTTGTGATCCAAATCTATGCTGCACCGGTACATTTGCAAAGATCACGGACATTGGGCTGTTGAAATCAAGGCACATCTGCGAAACATTCCAAGGAGTCGTGCATGATGGACACCAGTTCTGCAATCCTCAGACTAAACACTGCACTACGTATAAATACTAAACAAGTGCTTGCCGCTGTGGTATGACCAGCTTGGCATGGTCAATTGGAAGATAGTGAGTAACTCAAAGGACAACATTTTGATCTTTTCCCTTGTTAGCGTGCTTGGTTTCTTTGCAACGACGTAGAGTTGCAAACACGTCCACAAAACTGTCCTAATGTGTACTGTACAGCTAGCAACGAAACCATTGACTTCATCCGCCTTCTCAATAAGAATTGGAAAAAGAGATGCAACAACACTGTCAAAACAACACCTCTCCTTGTGCTTTTGCGCGCCCGCTGCCGTAGCAGTTCCTGGATTGATCAAATTGATCAGCATTTCTGCCCAAGCGTCGCAACCCGTGAAAGTTTGCATGCCCAAGTCTGCCAGCCGTGATTGGGTTGGGGCGCAAACACAGAGCCCCTAGAGCTTGGGAGAGTTTGGTTTGTTTGGGAACGGAAGCCAATATCCTGCATCATGGAAGCGGTGGCGGAGAAAACATGCACAAACAGAGCGCACATGAGAGGCTTTGCAATATTTGATGTGAGGGCGGTGTGCCATGTGATCTGGGACAGGACATGAAGTGGTGTGCTTGCAGTGGGAAATGACCCAAACTGTTGCCTGCATCCTCCCAGATGGAATTGCATTGGTAAGCAACAGTTGCTAAACTTTCAACAGGCGTTCAATCCATTCAAACCGCTCTTTCTGTCTCTCCCCCTCCCTCTCTCTCTCTATACGGGCCCTGACCTCGGCACCAAAGCCGATGGTGCCTTCCACTGCACCGGTTCTTGGGGGCAAGGGCGCCGTCACCTCCTAGCTCCTCGACGTGCTCCCCTCCATCTTCTGTGGAATGGGTGCCCTGGAAGGGAGCTGACGACGCCGTCAAGCCTTGAATCACTTCCGGCTCAGGTCTAGCTTGCAGCTTTGCTGTAGCTGCTTGGTCGCAAAAACTGAACTTGGCGTGGCTCTTGGCAAGCCCCCCCCCGACACTTCTTCTTTTTGCCCTTCTTCTTCTTCTGGATGGCCTCTGCCGCCCCGCAGGCCTGACTTCGCTGTATCTTTCTTCTCTCCTTCTCCTCTGCTTTGCGAGATGAGGCGCAAGCGCCGCTTTCCCGCTCCCACGTGCCCCTGCCAGTGCGGCTACTTGAAGAACGCTGCCAAGGCTGGAGCCCTCGTCCTCAGCAACTTGGCACTCGGCGCGCTGCCTGGTCCACTGGGAGGCTTTCCTCTCGCCGACCTTGCGCCCACCCTCTCCTCTCCTCCTCCCTTTTCTTCAAAGCCGGATTATCTGCCTCATGGGTCTAGTCTCTTTGCCGTCTTTTTGTCCACCTTTCAACGCAGGCGTTCTTCCCTCCAACACTTCCAAGACCTTGTTCTCCGATTGTAAATTGGCATCTCCGGACAGCAGCGTTGATAACACCAGTCCACTTTTTTGCTTGGCGGAGCCTTGACACATACTCATCCTCGAATGGCACGCACGCACCAAGTCCATCCAAGTACTCCTCCACGATCGTGAAGATGACCTTCGCAACGATTGAATCTTGAAGACATCTGACTGGTGATGAGTGCGTTCTCGTTTCAAGTAGCCTCAATCTTGAATGCTCTGGAAACAGGGTCATATGTTGCGTGAGGTTTGGCAAAGGCGTGTGGTCCACCATCTCGAAACTCGAAGGCGACATGCCCCCACTGCTAGCGCATCTCCCGCCAGCGGCGCAAAGTAGCCCAATGAAGAGCTTCCTCCCCAATGGCACCAAGCCAGATCTGAGATCGCAGCATTGGTTTCTGCCTTTTTTGCATACTCCCATGTCATCCGACAACTTGTGGGCTCTTGTGCTGGCGCGCTCCGACCTCCCACGCCGCTGATGTTTGTTCCCACCTCGATGGCGTCCGTGTCCTCTCCTTTGTTGCCACCAACCTACTGAGGGGTCTGAGTCGACCTCAGTCCTCCTTGAGCTTGAACTGACTTCCTCGTTACGTTCTGGAACTCCATTAAGGTCGACGTCGATTCTCCGTGAATGTGCGGATCGCCCACGCCAGCCTGGCTGTGCTCACAAACAGTTTCCTTGCACTGGTGTCTCGCTGGAGCGGTTGCATCCACCAGCGTTGCAACAAGACACCAGGCCCCCCCTCTGCCACTGCGGAACAGGGAACCGCCAACACATTCTTCAGAAGAATTAATGCCTTTCATGGACCTGGTGATGCAAATGATGCAATGATGATAAATATTTAGATTCATTTACTGCATGGCACATCCTTTCTAGGTCATCATGGATATTGCAAAGGTTGTAATGGCTCTATGTTTCAACCCCTGAATGATCCAATGCATGATACTTGTCACCTCTAGGTCATCATGCATATAGTAAAGTTTTTTGTAATCACTCCATGTTTGACCCCCTTACAAATTGTACATCTTTTAGCCGTCCAACATATATCCAACAATGCCTGCAAATTTAGCACCGTTCACCTCTAGGTCTTATATCGATCATGCAAATTGCACACTTTGTATCACTGAGTTTTCCGACCTAAAGACAATAAGCACCATTGCAGTGGATGAATAAAGAAAACGTACATGGGAAATACACATTTGCAGGCATTGGATATATGTTCGACCCCCTGAAAAATGTACAGTACCCTTTCATTATTGTTCGATCCCGTAATGACAAATAGAGTGATTGCAATAAACTTTACAATATGCATGATGCAGCTAGAGATTCCACATCTCTATGCCAGTTACTGTGCAGTGCTCTGACGGTAAATGGTACCTAAAGGGCGAGGGTCTGTCCCAACAGAACTGGCAAGTCCACACAGCTCGTCTAAGACACGAAAGATCTCCCACCTCCCGCTGCTCGGAAGCATCGGAGAGGCAGGCAATGAGCCTGCACTGTTGGCGACCGTCGGAGCGTACCCGAGTTCGATGCTAAGGCCTGAATTACTTGGCTTTGGTGCAAAACTCCGAAGGCAGAATCAGAGATCGAATGTGGAACCGGGTCTTTTTCAATCACTGGTGAGTTGGTGACTACAGTTCACAGTTCTACTCTGTCCAAACACCAAAAAACAACTGCCCAGAGTCTGCATGAAGGCCACAAACACCGAAAAGGGAGATCTTCATCTCCAAGGCACTGCTTGGTCTGATTCTGAGCCATGGGGAGCTGTGCTGCCTCGCAGGCGCGGTTCCGTTGAGTGTCAGCTTCGACTTGACGCGCCTGGTAGCGTCCTTGCTCCTAGTAAGGCCAGGAGCCCCGATCGTAGCGATGCCCTTTGCTCCTACGCCTTGCCTGGGCGCGTAGGCTCTGGACCTCGGCGAGCACCGCCGAGAGCGCCGCATCCGAGGCGCGGAGCTGCTCGGCGAGCACCTTCGAGGGAGAGCTCGGTTCGGCTTTCGAGTCATTCGCTTCAGACGGCTTTTGACCGAGCGCTGAAGGAAGGCGCAAAAAAAACCACACATGAAGTAGAGTTTCAAAATATGTTTTTAAAAGGAACTAACCTGAAGGATTGGGCCAAACGGCTCTTCTCGCGCCTCATTGTCATGAACCAAGGCGCTGGCAGCTGAGAGCGCCAAGTGGGTGTCCGCCTCTCCGCTTTGAAAAATCCGCTTCCCTTTGCTTCCATCCTACTAGCGATGGCCTCCACCCTTCTAGCGATGGCCTCCAACCTAATAGCTTCCACCTCTCAAAAAGAATTAACTTGTTTCGTTGATTTCGCAAGAATCTTCTCAATAATCTGCCGAAATCCGTCAACTGTGAGTGAATAGATACGTCAGCCAAATGCCAAATGCCCAATGCGCCTCGTTCTCAGACGGGCTTTCCTCCGAGTGGGGGTTGGAGGTAGCTAGTAGCGAAGTTCTGAATAGAAAAATCTTTCTTTGAACCCCTCTTTGAAGCTCAAAAAACTCTTTTGTTCCGTTTTCTTTCTTTGGACAACTTGTTCCGTTTTTTCAAACAAGCGTTCCACCAGGGCCGGACCCGCACACCCTGCACACCTCTCTCAACGGCGGGGGCTCCCAAGTGACACGGCCGGGCGCCTCCAGGAACCGAGTACCGAGAGATGAATGAAAGAAAGGAGAACCATACTAGTAGCTTCTTGTTACTAGTAAGGCCAGGAGCCCCTAGTAGCGTCCTTATTCCTAATGCAAGAAATGAAAAGGAAAGCATCCAAGTTTAAATTTAGGTGCGAATTAAACACTTCAGCTAAGCAGGTCTCTTCAGCAAAGTCTCGCCGGTATGCAGAGGCCGCTACATGTTCATCAAAGTTACAAACCCCTCCGAATTTCGCTACTTCATCTGGACAGTTGCCACAAAAGCTAAAGTTGAAGAAACTCTTTTGACAAGTACCCAATTGCTAAAGAATATCCTTTTGCGACAAACAAATCTTCCATTTGCTCCGCAGAAGTAGGGCATAGGTTGGAGGTCATCGCTATTAGGTTGCAGGCCATCGCTAGTAGGTTGGAGGCCATCGCTATTAGGTATAGGTTCTTCTTTGTTTCTCTTTATTGTTTGCAGTGAAATTGTCGGTTGGAGAAGTCGAGTCTTTCAACTTCACCATCTGTACACGCACGTGAAGAGTTGGGTTCAGCTGTAGCAACATTGAGAGAAAGAATCCTTGACAAGGAGAACTGAGTCTTTGTAGTATTGAACCACGGTGAAACGGGCAGGGAAAAAAACCTGGAGCCTTGAGAGAGATAGGGTGGCCATCGATACTAGAGGCCATTGCCGCCATTGCCTATAGGTTCTTCTTTGTTTCAGTGACTTTCAGTCCGACCAGTCCGAAGAAAATCAATACCCAAATACACATCCAACTCTCCACGTGTCTCACCGGTCTTCAGACCATCCAAATGGGGCGAAAATTGCTGCATTCGCCTCAGTCACAAACACGAGGACTCTGGAAACTGACATCACTAATTACTCCTGGTCCTCCATTTTCACAAAGCGATACCTGATGGAACCAAGAGCTGGCCCTCAAGCCTTTGTGGCGTTTGAACAGTAGGTGTATCATCCACAACCGGCTGGCAAGACCCGCATGTTTAAGAGTCTACCAGTCGCTACCAGTGACGGGATTTGCTGGCACAACTCGTGGTCCCCACTGGTGAGTTCCGATGAAACATACGTCCACTTTAGTCAATCATGCCGGGCCCCGGTACGGATGGACGTATTGCAAGTGCATCTTTCCAAGAATAAGCCATTTTCTGCTCTATTTGTTGTCAATTTGTCAGTCCGTCATGGCCTTCAGGTACACCCGAAACCGGAAGTCTTGCAAAACCCCTCATAGGTGAACCACACTCCGGTTGCGTTTCGAACCTTTGAGCAAAACAGCCTCTCTTGGCTTCAACTCCCGCTGTCCAACGAGGTCCAATCTACTCCACCAAGAACCACTCCTCATCATGCATGTCTACACTCCATCTGACTTTCCTCCGATTATCTCGACGAGGCCCGAAACCGCCCAGTTGCATTGATCGTAGCTCTTCCTTTGGGCTTGCCAAGGTTTGCCATGTTTGTCATGTGCCTCAAAAACAGCTCAAAACTTAAACATGAACAAAAGAGGAGGCCAAGCAAGAGCACGATGAGCCGCCATGTTGTGTCTGTTGCTAGAATGAAGACACTCCCTCACTGCACCGCACTTCCCAAGTGCTCGTGTTTCATTTTGTTTGTGTTTGCTTCAAAATCACGAAGATCAAGAAGAATCAAGGAGCAAGAATTCGAGGAAATCGATGGCACCACTGCCATCTTTGTCCAGCGTCTCAAAGATCTTCCGGAGCTCTTCGAAGGAAAGGCCTGAGACAGAGCCAGCTGGCCCATTGGTCGGTGAATCTTTTTTAGCATCTTGCTTTTGCATCTTCCTAATGGCCACCTTTGTCGTGAAAATACATTTAGCATCCTTTTGTCGTTTCTCCAAGGTGCTCTTCTGTCCCAGCAGTCCACACGCCCGTTTCACGCCCAGCAGGTCCAGCTCTCCGCTGCCGCTGCTGTCAATGATGTCGAAGATCACGCGGAACTCATCCACCATCCCTAACACCGGAAGAACGGAAGAACGCTATTAGGAACAGGTGCCACGCTACTAGTAACAAGTGCCTTACTACTAGTAACAAGAAGCTACTAGCAAACATTGTTACTACTAGTAAGGCCAGGAGCCCCGAGTAGCTTCTTGCTCCTAGTAGTAAGGCACTTGTTTCAAATAGCAAACATTGTTACTACTAGTAAGGCACTTAATCAAATTCTTTGAAGGCAAGCCACTTTCTCCTTTCAACCACTGTGTCTGTGTAATGCCCTTCCTTCTCACATTCGATAAGCAAGTCGGCAGACACCGAGGCACGTTCTTGGAGTCCCAAATCAGCACCATAGGCCCGGTCGGCAGCACGAGTGCAAATAGCTTGCCACTCCTTGACCTAAATCGAATGTTTAAAACAATAACAGAAAAAAACATCGCTTCCGTTCACAAAACCGCGCGGGTGCCTGGCGGACAAAGCGAACGAAGGCTTCAAAGTCCAAGGTCAACGGCGAGAAGCCGAACTCATTCACATCATTCCTCAGCAAACTGGGAGCGGCTGGAGCGGGCTCTTTTTCGTTTCTTTCGTCGATCGCGACCGGATTGGTTTCGATGCTGCTGTGCCACAGGAACTCTGTGATCTTCTTCTGATCTTCCCGTTGCTTGGGTCCCAAATGAAGCGCTTCCAAGGCCTCGAAAGGACGATTTAGTTGCGTTGTTTGCAGCCCGCCTATTACTGAGTTAAGGAGGCACCTACCTAACTAAGGCGACTAGCAATACGAAGCCAGCTAGGACACAGGATAGCTCACGCCCACGCTTGCACTAATGATGTGGTTCCTAGATGAGGGAAACTTGACCACGACTCAGACCGTTTCTTAAATCTCTTGTTCGGGTCGTCTGGTGTTTCATCAAACGTCAAAAGCCACAGGTACAGTCAACAAATAAGACCATACTCAAGTGCTGTCAGTTCCAAGGATTCAGAGCTTTCTTCTCTGATCTTCGTCTTCACTGGGTGAATTGTGAATCCCCGCGCATCGAGGCCTGGCTCACTTCTGGTATCCCCACGGCATTCACGCTGAACTTCCCGGTCTTCTTCCGCCTGTTTCGTCCACGCATTTCGGTTCAATAACGTCGTTTCTTGCGATGGCCAACGACTCATGACGTTCTGTGGATGTTGAGAAAGTGGACGTTAGCAAAAATAGAAACATCTACTATATAGTAACTAGAAGCTACTAGGAACAAGGACGCTACGAACGGGGCTCCTGGCCTTACTAGGAGCAAGAACGCTATTGGGAACAGGTGCATCGCTAGTAGTAACAAGTGCATCGCTACTAAAAACAAGAAGCTATTAGGAGCCTCCTGGCCTTACTAGGAGCAATGTTTGCTATTAGGAACATTAACGTCCTGTTTCACTTTCAGATCTCTTGAGCGCAGCCGGGCCCCGCTGGGCCCCGCTGGGCCCTGCTGGGCCCCGCTGGGCCTCCTGAGCATGCGCTCAAAGATGGGTACCAAATCCTCCCGGAGAGCTCTGGACTGCAGAAGACGCACCTCAGACGCTCAGACGCTCTGTTAGTTTCAGATCCCAAGTCAAATCACTTCCCCTTCAGATTTGTGTGGTCAGACTGAGTCTAAAAGGAAAAGTAGGCGCATCACGCACTTCCGAAGTTTCATTTCTTCGTTTGGAGATGACCATCCCGAAAATGCTTCAGTCTGAAGTGTTGGCCTTCGCATCCCTCAGGTGTTGCTGCCGAAACAAATAAAGATTTGAACAGTGAGTCAGTTTGAATCTTCGGGTTGCATTCTTCGAAAAGGAAATCTGCTTCCAAAACATGCCAACTGCGGAACGAACGAGAGGAACGAGAGGAACGGGATGGACTGAAATGATGACTCGGAATGGCCGAAAGCCCGTCTGGGCCATGTGTCTGAGTGTACCAAGTAGAGGAAGCGGGCAAAGTCCATGCAACCTGCACCGCTGCCACTGCCACTCACGCCACTCACAAAAAGGGCTTTCCACTTGCTATCAGGATTCTTGGGTTCATCTCTCATCTCCCCGTATGGCTCACCAAAAACAGGCTGAGCCTGGGCCTTCTGGGCCTTCTGGGCCTTCGCCCGGTGCGCCTTCATCAAGGCTTCCCACCTGAGAGGCCAGCTGAAGGAACTCGCTGGACTGCAAAAGAGCCTCGGATTTCGAATTCCAAAGGTTCCGAACACTTGACAAACACAATTATTTCTTTCACTAGCGATGGCCAAAGGTTGTTCCACAATTAGGTTGATTTCCAAAGGACTCCACTCTACGATTTGTGTCGATGAATCCCTGATGGGCCTTCCCTGACAACTACTTTTGCAAAAGCATTCTATGCATCTGCAGTCTCTGCCTTAAGCGCTGCTTTTGTTCCCAGCCATCGCTGTGAGTTCCTCTCAAAGAGCAAGCCACATGGATTGGTTTCTGGCAGATGCGCTGTGGGCTGTCAACAGGTGTCACTGTCAAGTGTCACTGTGTGCTTTGATATTTATCTCCACAAAGATCAGGCTTTCCTCTGCAACTTCATCTGTGGATGGCAACTGAATGAAACCTGCATGTGCCTTACTTGCCCTACAATGGGATCTGCTTGTTCAAAGGCGCCTTCTTGAGTCCAATGTTACGTAAAAGCCATTTACCCTTGTGACCCACCACCACGCTCCACGCTCGGTCCTGGGGACTTGCCCAGAAAAGCGGGCCACTGCAGGGTTGGCCGCAGCATCGGTGCAAGCCAAGGAAATCATCACGAGCATCTCCACTTTGTTCTCCGATGGTTTTTCCGAAAAAGAAAAAAACAATTATTCTTTACCTCTGAGAAATTTTGAAATAAGAAGCTAGTAGAAACAAGTGCATCGCTTCTAGTAACAAGTGCCTTACTAGTAGTAACAATGTTTGCTACCTCTGAAACGGTTTTGACACCTCTCGATTCCGCACGCTTTTCCCCACCTGGTCGAGACAAGGAAGGAGGCCCAAATTGCTCAGAGCCACCCAGACTTCCACCTCTCTCGACACATCTGCATGATTTTATGCGCAAACGTTGTTTGCATGATTTTATGCAAAGGATGACGCTTTGCACACAGTGTCGGCCTTCTTCACCACACCAGAGTGGGTGTCATCGAAGGAATAGAAAAGCTCGATCATCGCCTCGAGTTCCTCAGCATCTCAGGGCCGTGCAACGTGCACATTGCAAATCTTTGCTTCTGAGCTTTCACAAGCTCGAATTCTTATTCATACCTTTGGGTCAAACAAAGGAATAAGAAGAAGAAAGAGACATATCACATATACAAAAACAAGGTCCACGCTGTCCGCGCGTTCAAACATGGTTGCTTGAGTGAATTTGCTCGGCCTAAAGGAAAACAAAATAAACAATGGAACCTTCAGAACCCGTTCAGAAGCCGCATTGTTTCCTGGTTGCTTCGAAGATACACGTCTCTCTTTGCGTTTCGCGTCTCAGGTCCTGCGGCACGGTGGGCGGAACCTGGCCTTGCGGAACTCTTGGAAGAGCGCCTTGCCCAAGCCCAGCTGCTCTGCCAGTTCGATCTGCTGCTGCGCCGTCAACCTGCCGTGGGCCTCTGACAGGAAATCCGCCATGACCTGAAAATCGAGCGACGTGGCAAAGCGTGTCCGCGAGTGATTGTAAACTGGTTCGCTGGCGGTGGCTGGTTGCGCTGGTTATGCTGTTTGTGCTGGTTACGCTGGTACGCTGTTTACGCTGTTTACACCGGATCCGGTGTAGGTGATGTAACAGTGTAGACGGTGTACACGGTGCAAAATTGTGTCGACGGTGTAAACAGTGTAAACGGTGTAGAAGGTGTAAGCGGTGTAGACGGTGTAAGCGGTGTACAAAAAGATTGTGTGAACACTGGTTGCGCCAGCAATGTGAAAATCGAAACAAGGCTCAACGGCATGGAATGGCCAGACGATTTTGCAAAAATGAAGACCATCGCTAGTAGGTTGGAGGCCATCGCTAGTAGGGTGGAGGCCATCGCTAGTAGGGTGGAGGCCATCCCTAGTAGGTTAGAGGCCATCGCTAGTAGGGTGGAGGCCATCGCTAGTAGGTTAGAAGCCATCGCTAGCAGGTCGGAGGCTCTCACTAGTAGGTTGGAGACAGTGGAACGCCCACACTGAGACCTCGAACTCGAACTTGTCAAACTTCATGTCTGGCAACAACCGCGGCAAGTCTTCCAGCGCCACTGCATCCGGGCGTTCCCGCTCCTCTTCGATTGTCGTTTGGTGTCCCCTTTCTGAACAATTCTAATTAAACTTGCTCTAATTCTATGTTTATTCTATTTATATCTTTATTGTTTCTAATAGCTTCTTTGTTCCTAGTAGTAAGGGCAGGAGCCCCTGCTCCTAGTAGCTTCTTTGTATGCAAGAACAGCCATCCAGTGGTTCTTCGGACGGACGGCTGCATGGTTTCATGTTCATCTGTGTGTTTCGCTACGATGTCGTGCCCATTCTTGGACTCTTGGCGCATGGATGGACAAACAAAATCCTCCATCCCCAAAGTTGATCATGTTCAGGAAACAACCATATGTCATCTGTATATGAATGGAATGACTATTCCAAGAACTTGAAGAGGGAGGTTCAAAAGCAGAAAATTTTGCGATATGAAAAGGCTGAAGAACGCAGCTCAGAATTTCAAGAGAACGCGTCGACTTGTTGCTTACAGCAGCGAGTTCAGGGAAGCCTGCAAAAAGTGATGTCTTTTTCTGACTCCGTCTCCTCCAGGAGAAAGTCTACCTTGTCGTGGTGAGTCTGGGCTGGGCGAAGGCCCTGCAAAGACACGCCGTACGCACCGTGAACGGACCGTGTCGACGTGGTTCGGAGTATTCCGTGTACCGAAATGTCTGGCCAATCGGGGCAGTGTCAATTTGCAATCGATGCTTCCGCAGTTCGTTTCGAGTCACTTTTCGCAGCGCCTTAGACATCGGTCCTCAGACGCGGTGACATGCATTGCGCATGCATTGGATGCCGTAAAAATCAATGTAAATGTCGCTTTGATTGGCTCATGGATTATCCAGGCACCACCTGTAGCCTCACATTCGGAAACAAAACAGAATCACAACAGGGGAAACGAACATAAACGACCCCCCTTCGTTGGCCAGAAGAAAAACAATTCAATTTTGATGGCTCCAACAAGAGCCAAGTAAACACGTATGTGCCTTTCAATTCGAGAACAACCATCCTGCATAGCCTGCATCTTTACTTTGAGACGTTTCAAGCTTTGACAAACTATTTCACATCCTCATGTGTTCGGACGAGTTGCTGGGTGGGTCACGGTCCTCTAGATCCTTCGCGATGAGTGAATGACCAAGACTGTCCATCGAGACTTGTGTCTTGGAAAATGAAGATTTGCTTTGAAATAGTCAGTCCTTGGGTCCTTGGGATGGTGTGCCACATCAGGTTTGTAGCTACATTTACTAAAGCTGCTTCTAAGACTGTCTCAAGAACCTGTTTTCTCTCAAGTTGTCACAAAATGTCACATTGCGTTTGTTGCAAAGCACCTCAAACATCTTTGACTTGCCGCTCTTGCCCACGTCCTCGTCTCCCTCCTTTGAGCTGGGCCGCTCTCGAGAATTCGGCCGCTCCCGGGACGCCGGACGCTCAGTGACCGAGCGCGTGCTGGCGCGTGGCATGCGAGACTTCACCTTCCAGCAAGTCTTGCTACGGTCAAAAGTGGTGTTTGTCCTGTCTTTGTATTGTTGATCTTTCTTGTAATTTCAGTTTTCAAGTCAATATATATTATATGTGTCTTCCTGATCTCTTCACAAAAGAATGCTTTCCTACTTTCCAGCCCTAGGACCTGCTCAAGGTCTTGGAGTCTTGGATGCCTTTCATCCACTTTTGGAACAAAGAGCGCTTTCAAGCGCAGAAAGCAATTAGTTAGCAATGAGATTGATTTCCTTTGTATAGACCTTTCTTCCTTTTCTTTTTCGTTTCTAGTAGCGATGGCCTCCAACTTACTAGCGACCTCACACCTGCTTGAAATGACACCACCGTAGACCCCAAACAGTTTGTGTCTTTCAATATCGGAACACTCTGCAACTAGAGCTTGCGACGTCCAGAGCTGGGAGACAAAGGATTGCAAGGCAGAGGCGGCCACAGCAGTCCAGAGCTGGGAGACAAATGTAGACACAAGGAGACAAATGTAAAGGATTGCAAGCCCAGAGCTGGGTGACAAATAAAGGATTGCAAGGCAGAGGCGGATACAGCAGTCTAGAGCTGGGAGACAAATGCAAAGGCTTGCGAGGACACATGTAAAGGATTGCAAGGCAGAGGCGGACACAGCAGTCAGAACTGGGAGACAAATGTAAAATTAAAGGATTGCAAGGCAGAGGCGGACACAGCAGCCCAGAGCTGGGAGACAAATGTAAAGGCTTGCGAGGACACATGTAAAGGATTGCAAGGCAGAGGCGGACACAGTAGTCAGAGCTGGGAGACAAATGTAAAATTAAAGGATTGCAAGGCAGAGGCGGACACAGCAGCCCAGAGCTGGGAGACAAATGTAAAGGATTGCAGGGCAGAGCAGCTGGGAGACAAATGTGAAGGGGTTGCAAGCAAGCGAGAGGGGGAGAGAGGAGGCAAAAGGGCGGAAACCAGCAGCGACAGACCTGGGAGACAAATGCATAGAAATGACAGTGACAGACCTGGGAGACAAATGAATAGAAATGCTACATGGCCAGCCGAAAAGGGTGGACACCAGCAGTGACAGACTTGGGAGACAAATGAATAGAAATGTTGCATCGCCAGCGGAAAAGAGCGGGCACCAGCAGTGACAGACCTGGGAGACAAATGACTAGAAAAGCTACATGGCCAGCGGAAAAGGGCGGACACCAGCAGCGACAGACCTGGGAGACAAATGCATAGAAATGCTACATGGCCAGCGGAACAGGGCAGACCAGCAATGACAGACCTGGGAGACAAATGAATAGAAATGCTACATGGCCACCGGTAAAGGGCAGACACCAGGAGTGACAGACTTGGGAGACGTGAGTAGAAATGCTACATGGCCGGCGGAAAAGGGCGGACACGAGCAGTGACACAAAGCGCGGACACATCTTAAGAAAGAATTGAGAACCCTAACAGTAAACTGCTTGGGGAAAAATCAATCCTTCTTTCTCCCCATGCGAAAAAGCCACGGCAGCCCGCTTCTTCGAAGCCAAGTCTTCCGACGCCTCAGGTCATGTCCCGAGCCTCGTATCGGTGAGCCATTCAGGCGCCGTGGCGCTATAGAGTAGTGGCACCAAACGGACACAACTAGCGGTGCAGAAACAACAACAACAACAACTACTACTACTACTACCACCACCACCACCACCACTGCTACCACCACTACTACTACCACCACCACTACCACTACTGCAACCACCAGAACTGGTGGTCTCCATGCCAGTTCCATGCTTGCCAAGGTGCCACACTTTGGACCTTGTTAGTCTCACTCCGGCCCTTCACGATGGTCAGCAGCCAACGTGCAAAGTCACCGCGCGCCTCAACGAAGAAAGTTGGTCAGGTTCATTCTACATGCCAACTGGAGGATGAGATCGGGCTCAAGGTCATTATGGTCATTGTCATTCATCAGTGTCTTCAACGCCTGGACACCGCAAGAAAGAAGGGGGATGCGACACGGGCGCGACCCCGGTTCTAGACCCAGAACACAGCGGATCTTTTTTGTCATGAATGCCGAAGAAGCGAAGGCCTCATCCAAGTCAGGTAAAAGTTTCAGCTCCTGTCAAGCGAGAGTCAGTGGGTCGCCGGCTTAACCAAAAACATCGGCATTGGTAGCGACCCTACGTGGTCTTTGCGATACCTGAGATTTCTGCGTCTGCCAATGTCACCACTTGCATTGCACTTGCACTGGAAAGTCTTCAGCGGCGTAGGAGCGGGAAGAAAAGGTTTTGAGCCCCTTCGATAAGGCCCCTTTCAAAGGATGCCTAAATGAAAAGGTGCCCAACTCCACCTTGGGAATTCTCCTCTCTTTACTGTGTTCAAATGAAGACTTTCAAGTCGCCTGAAGCAGCTTCAAGACATCTTGGATATCCATCTCCCCCTCATCGAACAAATCGTACCTCATTAGAACACTGAGTGCGCCAACAAAATCAGATTGCGATCGCTCAATCCGGACGATGACAACCCATGCGCGCACTTGGTGAAGTGAGAGAAATAGGCCTTTTGCTGAGCGATCTTCAGCCTCCTCCTGAACAAGTTGTGGTGCACCAAAGGGAGTGACCAAAGTATCTCGGAACCGAAAAGACCTCAAAACCATTTTTCTTGTGCACACGGGGGTCATAGCCAAGCAACTCCCAGCGCTCCCTTGAAGACTTAACATGGATTTCAGCGCTGTGCAAACAAGGCAAGGCAATGAGTTGTCCAAAGCAAGGATTAGCAATTGAATATCGAAGCCAAGTGCACTGATTTGAAAGGATCTTAAGCAGTTGGTCCGACCGACTTACTGGATCTCTCTCTCTCTTTTTGGGCCTGATCCGCTCCAAGAGCTCAGGCATTTGCTCTCGGCTCAGCTCCAGATCTCGGGCAAGTCGCTCTTGTTTTTGGTGGACCTCTTGCAAGTGGTGGGTCGTGCAGTTATTGGACGATCGATCCGAAAGCACACACATGAGAACACAAATATGCGCGAACAAACAAATGAGAGCATACTCATGAGAGCACACATATGTGAGCACGCCTGGATGGGAGCACACACACATGAGAGCAGGCATGTATGAGCAAGCGAGCAAATTGGAGCAAACGCATGAAAGCACATGCGTGAGAGCATGAGCACACATGCCAGAGGTTCACGCCTGACCGAAATTTGCACTTTGAGCTTCACCAAAGTCCGGCTCCTGCCTTGAAATCTAATGCCCAAGCGCCTCAGCCTCAGCAGCGGGTCGCGGAAGTTCGCGAACAACTGAAGACAAGCGCGAAGATCCTCAACCACGCGCGCGCTGCGATGCGCGTGGCGTGAGAAGTGGGCAGCGTCCATTGCCGTCTGTCTCGCCAACATGAAAGGTACATCTCCGGCGCGTCCAGCGCCTGCCCCTGCTCCTTTCGCCTGGTTCACACGCTTTTTGCGCATTATTCCGTTCACGCACAAGGTGCCGAACATAAGCGCGACCACCATTCCCATTCCTGTGGCCCTTAGGGCTGATCAGCGAGCTCTAAGTCCATCTCCTCAACATCCTGCGCGGCTTTCTCACCCAAGCGCTGCTTGCCCTCAACTTGCAAGCCAAACACATTTTTGGGTCGCCCCTTCTCACATGCCCTCTTATCTTGAACTGCCATCGCCTTCAGAAAGGGTTTGACCTTGGGACTCGTTTTCTTCCAAGACGAGTCGACTCATCTTCGCCTGCATTTTTCAGGGCCGCTTCTTCGGCATCAGCGCAGTCACACCGACATCCTCGCCCTGATAGCGTCGAACATCAACAGGCAACAGAAGAATGACACGCTGCACACACACAGGCATGTGAAGCACACGTGGCTAGCCTGGACTGCGCTTCATCAGTCCGTCCTTCAGGCCAGACGGCTCAGGCTTTGCGGCCAAGACCTCCACATCTCAAGAGACCTTGTGGCAAAGCCATTGCCATAATGGGTTTCGGTATAGCGTTGGCAAGGTTTTTGAATTTTGAAGTGATAGCTGAAAACAGCTCGTTGCTCAAGTACACGCGCAAAGTTCATGTGGGTGTTCGTTCGGGCGCAACAGGAACAAAACCCTCCTCTTACAGTTGTCGGTTGGCGCGACACCCAGACGCAGCACGCCCAAAACCTGCTTCTTACACTTGTCTCTTTATGGGGTGCTGGGGTGGCGTGAACAGCCAGACGCAACAGATCCAAAACTGTGCGCTCGTCTCTCTCGACATAAACGCGTGCCCCAAACCACTCTTCCCTCACCCACAAATTTCTCACTCAACACGGCGTCTTCGCGGGCCACGCTCGTCTTCCACGTCCAACCTATCCACCTTTTCAAAGTCCATGTCAGTTGGGGGCAATGGCACAGGGCCGCTTCAAAAATCAAGCCCAAAAAGGACTGGCGACATCAGCTTGCAAACATACGCGATCGTCCAGCTGGCAGACCAAACCTCGTCCAGTCCTACCACATAGCCTGCTTAAGGGCCCTCGAACCGGGCAAAGGTATTGGCGCGTGAAGTGGTGCACCAAACCTTGCCACAAGGTCAGTGGCTCGATTGATCACTGGAAGCCCATGAGCCCAGCGCAAGTAGAGCACATGGAAGTGGTGAGGAGATCGAAAAGCATTGATGGGCCTGGAACTCAGCTTCTTACGGTTCCTCCCAACATTCCTCAGGGTGGTCAAGACCACCAATTCGCAGCTGGCGACACAGACTTGCGCAGCTTTCTAAGCCACGGAACCAATCCAAGGCACCGGCGCTTGAAGGACCAGCTGGGTGAAGCGCCCCTTGCAAGCGGCCCCTCTCTCCCTCTTGTGGCAAAAGGCAAAAAGCTTTTTCGCCAACGCCCGCTGCCGAAAGTAGTCCATACGGGCACAGCTGCCACGTCACTTTGACAATAAAGTCCTTAGCTTGGCTTCCATCAGAAAGATCGCGCTCATTCTCACTAGCGAATTGCGACTATATGAAAGAAAACCCCGCAACCGATGATATCAGTCCCCTCTCACATCTTTTGAAACAAGTTCGGGTATGAATTTGGACATGGCTCTGCTGTCAGCTTGAAGCTACCCTTGAGGGTCTTCAGCTGCTCAAGAACGACCGGAATGCGCGCAATCCATCGGAAAGATTCCGCAGCGGCCTCAAACAAACGCGTTGCCTTGCATCGCCTGCGCTTCAGAATGGCACGAATAGCTGACGCACTAATCCGATCGCCAACCTCCATTGTAACAGCGCTGGAGTCGGGCCCAAGCACAATCGCCCTGCAGAGCTCCCATCAACTTCAACACGGAACTGCTTTCCACCACCCCTCACTCAGCCTGCGCCCCGATTGCATCTGGCATTTACATGAACCAACGCAGGTCGGCTGCGGTTGACAACTCAGCCATGCCACGCGCCCTTTCCGCAGCCAATCCCAGACTGACGCCGAGCTCATCTTTCTCGATGGTCAACAGTTTGTGAATCCTCAGGTCTGCTCTGTGCCATTGTCTCCGTGCGCGCGGCACATCATCAGCCGAGGCCAAGCCCAAGCAAGCTTTAAGACAAGTGTGTAGGCAGACTCTAACGGCAGACTCACACCTCCATCCATGAAGCATACGCGCATAGGTCTCTAGCACATGGGCCTCCTTTCAGTAGGTTTTTCTCAATTACACCAACTCTCTGCCAATTCTTGTACAGGTAGCAGCAGGCATGCTTTTCTTCCGAGCGCGGAGTGAGGTCAGACCTCTGCATGAAACTTTTTACAAGCTGTGTTGGACATCAGAGACATCCAGCAAAGCCAGGGTGAAGGAATGAGAAGGATTGAAAAGGTCACGAGTTTATCGTGGTAACACCCTTTTTGCTGTGGGAATATTTGGAGAAACCATGTGGATATTCAAGAATTGCGTGAGATAGACCCTGTCTCAGCCTGTGCAGTCGAAATGCACTTCGAACATCTCGAGAAGCATGTGCTGTAAACAACAGCGAATTGGTCTCACCCGGATGTGAGCACCCTCGATCAACCCTTGACCACTACAGTGAGCATCTTGGTGATGGATATCTTTCAACGTGTCCAACGACGTGCCAAGGCACGAGGAGAACATTTCCTTTGGCCTCCTCCAGCTCCTTTTCCTCATCAGTCTCTCCGTCCGGCACCTGCGTAAGGCGAACAATCGAATCGAAACATAGAAAATTCACCTTTTCGAAGTTTTGTGCGAAATTGTGAAGCATGTCATCTAGGTCTCCCAAGTGTTCATTCAGAAAGGTACAAACAACAAACATTGGGACTGCGGTGACCTTGAACACCTAGCCAGCGGCCAGCACCACCGCATCTCCTCCGCGGCGTACAACGAGCCAGCCTTTAGGCTCTGTCCTTTGAGCCCTGCCCAACCGCCCGAACCCCTTGAAGTTCTCGACATTCCATCGAACCAAATCATCTAGGTTGGAGGCCATCGCTACGAACCAAAATCAAGACTCCTCTTCAAGGAAGCTTCCCCGCAGGAACCGCTCCCCTCTCCCGCCTCACGGCCTACCGGCGGTTCCACGCCTGAAGAGCCATGTTGACAATGGTTCTTCTCACGCTGGCCTTCTCCTGGAGAACCCGAGATGGAACCGAAAAACACGTGAACGAAACCAATTTGCATAATACAAACAAGGCCAAAAAGGAAGGTAGAAAGAAAGAAAAAAGATCTGATTTATCTATATGGCAAGTAGCTTGGATTCTAACCCCCTTGGTACCAGCGAGAACGTTTTCCCAACTACCCCTGCTACTGCACATGATTCAAATTTTCAACAAAATTACACACATTTTAATGGTAATTCAATTACATAATAACGATTGTGGACAGAATTGGAATCCCGCCTCGTCATTCTGCGGCAGAAGACCAGCATCTTCCAGGACGCCACGAATTTCCGTCAGTTGGAGCATGCCATTGCCATCCTTCGAAAACATAAGGAGTGCTGAGATCCACAAATGAAAAATGAGTTCAGCTCATGGCTTTAATGTTCAATTGGAAGCTTCGTGAATGGATGAACTCTACTCGAAACGGTGGTTTCGTATCAAACCCTCACGACGCCTCATCGTAACGATGAAAATCCTCTTTGATGAGCTTCTCATCCTTTAATCGCACCATCTCTGCGATCCGATCACCTCTGGCCGTCGCTAGGCAAGCCGGCAAGCTTACCACTCACCGCAGCCTTTTTCGGTTTCCCTGCGGTTTCCCTCATTTCCTCTTCCACATTTTTGGGTTGCTGCATTCCTCCACTCAAGCTCCCGCCCACCCAAGGCTATACAAGAAAAATCCGCTTAAAGACTAGCCGGAACATTGTTAGATGTCAATCCACATGGCCGCAAATATGAAACTGTGAAATACCCGTGCGCAACACAACTACCTGAAGAGTTACCTGAAAAAGGACGCCTCTCACAGATGGCACTAATCACTTTCCATGCTGTTAAACAGCATTCTTTCGAAGAGTTCTGGCTCCGGAAAGAAATCTGGTGACGGAAAGAAATCCAACGGCATTTCACTGTACCGAAGCCTTCTTTGATGAGCTGCATCCGCGCCAGGTCTCGCAACATCGAGGCAAATTCCTAGTCATCCCACGGCGACTGAAGGGAACGGATCCACAAAAGTAAGCGATTGGGAACATGTCAATATGATTTTGCACGTAGAAGGGCACAATCGAGGAAAGGGAGAGAGGCACAGCGTCATACGGAATATTGTTTGAATCGAGGAAAAAGTGTTGACAGTTTTGACTTGTGGGTTTCGCTCTCTGGGCCCTGGAAATTTGAGACGTTTCAGCCAACCTCAGGTGTATACCCTTTTCAACCGGTTTCCTCAGGCGGTCTCCGATAGCCTTCTGAATCTTGCGTCAGTCACTTGTTGAAAAACTGCAGTGCCCAAAACCTGCTTGTTTTTGTCCATTTGTTCACTCCTTTTCCCACGAAGTCGTGAAAACACTTCTCAACCCGAAGTCCGACTCGACGACTTGGCATTGGCTTGGTGAATGGCTAGCTCCTGGTCCTACTACTAGGAGCAAGAAGCTACTAGGACCTAGGAGCAAAGGGCATCGCTACGAACGGAGCAAGGAAGCTACTTCCCGTCGAAGCATGGGCTGCCCCATCCCGCCTTGTGCGCACGGCGATCCGCGCGAATGGCTGAGCGGTCCTGGACACGTCCAGAATGGACGAGATGGACAACTCCCGTCCGCCCACTCAACTTGTGGCCCAGAGGGGGGTGGCGAAAGCTAGGCAAAGAAACAACGCTGGGGCTCTTTAGGCAGCAAAAGCCTGGCCGGGAATCGCAACATGCCATGGCCAAGGGAAAAGGAGAGTGCCAACACCGCCCCCCCAATACGACCCCAACACAGCCAACGCATGGCAACACACAACCACCACAGCAGCAGCAGCAGCAGCAACAGCCACAACAACAATCAATAACTGTAACCAGCAGCGGCAGCGGCAGCAAGCAGAAGCAGAAGCTACCAAGCAGCAGGAGTAGCTAGCAAGCAGCAGCACCAGCTACCAAGCAGCAGCAGCAGCACCAGCAGCAGGAGCAGCTACCAAGCAGCAGCAGCAGCAGCAGCTACCAAGCAGCAGCAGCAGCAACAGCTACCAAGCAACAGCAGCAGCAGCTACCAGGCAGCAGCAGCAGCAGCAAAATCAGCTACCAAGCAGCAGCAGCGGCAGCAGCTACCAAGCAGCAGCAGCAGCAGCAGCAGCAGCAGCAGCTACCAAGCAGCAGCAGCATCAACAGCAGCAGGAGCAGCTACCAAGCAGCAGCAGCAGCTACCAAGCAGCAGCAGCATCAACAGCAGCAGGAGCAGCTACCAAGCAGCAGCAGCAGCTACCAAGCAGCAGCAGCAGCTACCAACCAGCACCACCAGCTACCAAGCAGCAGCAGCAGCAGCAGCAGCAGCAGCAGCAGCAGCTACCAAGCAGCACCACCAGCTACCAAGCAGCAGCAGCAGCAGCAGGGAAGGAGTGAGCTTTCCTTAGAGTCTTTCGCGCCCTAACATTTGGTCTCGAACAATAGCACATATAGGTGCTGCCTGAGTAAT